ACTAATTTTACTTGTACCAATTATTAAAGAGATTTAAGATGCTCATCAGTTAATTTAGATCTGTAAACATTTTTTGTGTACTTCATTTTGGAGAAGGTCTTCTCACACAAATAAGTAGTACCAAAAACAGAAAACAGCCCACGAGCAAATTTATGCAAATTATCAAATTGTGTCTGTGGAAGACTCTTATAAAATTCCAACAAAGATGAATTTTGATATTTGTTCTTAATTATATCACTGCACTGTAGATCAATCATTTCCATTTGAAGTTCCGTCGCTAGGGTTTCAATGTCAGTATCAAAAGGATTCTGAAAAATCTTAATTTGATTCGCAATGGCATCAAAGTCCGAGAAACAAGTATCAAAATTTATTTTCAAAGCACTCAAAGTTTCGATTGCAAAATCGATAAGAAACTCAGTCTCAGTGATGTGGCTGAATATTTCACATGTTTTAAAATGTGAAAAACATTTACTTCGTAGTTGTGATTGAAACAGTATCAATTTCTTCCGGAATGATTTGATATTAGTGTATAAATCAGGAAGATGCTGGTTTTCTCCTTGCAATCTCAAATTCAGTTTGTTCACATGTTTTGTCAAATCAACATAGAATGCTAACTTCCACAGCCATGCGTTGTTTTTGTAATTCAGTAGAGAGGCGATGCTTTTCATTCAAAAAAATTTTGATCACTGCTCGAAGTTCAAAAAAGCGCTGAAGGACTTTCCCACAACTAAGCCAACGTACGACAGTATGATAAGGTAAGTCATTTTCTCCAATCTCTTCAATAAATTGTTGGAATTGTCGGTGATTCAGCCCAAAAGATCTGATAAAATTAACAGTTGATATGACTGGTTTCAGAACTTCAAACATATCCAAACATTTTCCGCACAAAGGCTGTTGATGAATGATACAGTGTAAGACTAATGGTTTTGAACCACCGTCATTTTCTACAGTCTTTGACACAAGAGCGACCACTCCTTTATCTTTCCCACTCATGTTTTTGCCTCCATCAGTTGTAATACATTTCAAGTTTTCCATTGAAGGTTCTTTTGATTAATGGCCATTTCAACTCCTGTAAAAATATCTGTACCAGTAGTTGTGCCATGAATACTATACATATCAAGAAGTTCTTCATGCACTTCATAGCTTTTATCTACTCCTCGAATATAAATCAACACCTGAGCAGTATCTGACACATCCATTGACTCATCCAAGGCCAAAGAAAACCACTCAACATATCCATTTTTGTCGAACAGTTGAGAGGATATATTTTCAGCGATGTTTCTTCGAGCCACAGTGTTTGCTGACATACTGACAGTTTTTAATAAATTTACCTTTTCAGGGCATATTTCTTCGGCTACTGCAATTATGCATTCTTTGATCATTTCTCCATCGGTGAATGGTTTTCCACGTTTTGCAATTTCAAGAGCCTCATGAAAGCTGGCACGAGTTGCAGCCTCTTGTTCACTTTTGTGTTTTGTAAATGAAGATTGCTGCAATTTCAATCCGCGCTTCATAGCTTCGAATTTTTCTGTCCGCAAACTTCCTGTATATTTTGAGTAATTTTGAAAATGTTTTGTTTCATAATGACGTTTAATGTTATATTCTTTAAGAACGGCTATGCTTTCATTGCAAATCAAACATAGCGCCTTGTTACTGGACTCAATTACGAAATACTGAATGTTCCACTGATCTTTGAATTTTCTGCATTCACTATCAATTTTTCGCTTCTTTTCCATACTACTAAATCACACACAAAAGCAACAATTCAAATCAAAAACTGTTACAAAGATGTCTTAAACTTAAACACGCACAAACACGTTTTAAGAGGTACGCACTGTTTTATTTCACAACAGTGTCATAGGAACTGACTTCTGTACGTGCTATTAGTGCCATCTGTTAGCGATAGAAGGTACTACCTATTTCCTCTTGTGTCCACCAGATGTCGTGTCACATTATTCCTCATGGCTCGTACTCTACGACTAATCTAGAAATTACAGATAATGACAGGAAAATTAATAATATGCCGTTTTGCGGACTTTAGTCCGATTTGCAGCCTTTTTTAAACGTTGCGTACTTTCTCGGACTTTTTTTTTCATCAGTGGACTATTTCACTTTTTACCACCGGCAACAATGATAATATGGTTTTGGCCCTCGGAACTTACTGGAGTAATCAGTATGGCCCTAAGGCTGGAAAGTTTGGAGACCCTGGCTTATACCATCAGAATAAGTAGAGGAAACCTTTCTAATGAATATTATCCTGAATTTTTAACATAATTTGTTGATTTTGAATGTGGTTTTTTTTTTTTTTTTTTTTTTTTTTTTTTTTTTTTATCATCTTACACATAGTCAGGTTTAAAAATCCAACATTCAACTTTGTATATGTTCTAAATTTTTGAAATTTTCACAGGTTAGAAAATAAACCTTTTGTTACTAACGTTGTTACTTTGTGCTTTAGATTTAAAATGAAAATCTAAAGCAAATATTAATTAATATCAGGGTTCGTAGCTGTGCTTATAAGTCCTTATATTTGAAAATAAAATATAAAGGCCTTTATAGGTGCTTACTTTTTCTTTAAAGACGTTTTTTTTTTTTTTTTTTTTTTTTTTTTTAGTACTTATTTTTTGCTTTTAGTGCTTTTTTTTAAATGAACGCGCTATTTTTCCCCGTACCAAAGCGGAAACTAAATAAACAACTCTTCTTCCTAATATGGAATGTCAAATGGTGAATCATACTCCTTAGGTGTGGACGAAGAGTACAAACAGGTACCCGTCGTTCTATTGGTCAAAGAATTGGGAAAGCAGTAGAAAATTCTGGTACATTCGGTATTCTTTTCCTCCTACCCAAATACTACACACGTTTGAATTTCTATCAAGATCTTTAAAATTTGCATTCTCGTTCTGCTTGGTCAGTTCATATTCGTGTTTATTATGATCGTTATGCTTATATTATGAGCATATGCATGAATATTTATAATAATATAGTTGCAGTAACTGGTGAAGTATAGATAAACTTCCAGCATGCCTTTAAATAATATTCGGAATGGCTTAAATAAAGGAAAAGTAATCAAATAGTCAAAATAACTTCATTTTTTTGGCCAATACATTATACAGTACGAAGGTTGGGAGGTTCTCCCCCTTTCTCCGCAAAATCTTGAATATTCGCTGAAAACAAGCAACGGACCTTTTTTTTTTTTGTCACTTTGCTATCTGGATTGAATAGGACTAAAAGTTCTGCGGTCTACCAACCCAAGCGAAGAATGATTCTATTCCGGAAATTTAACGACGTCTGTTGAAAATTAGAATGAAAAACACCCCAGTTATTTAGTTTTTTATTCTCCCAAAACCGGCAGCTGTCGATTCCGATTGCATAATATCACGTAATTCACGGCACAGGTATTGCGCAATAACGTTTGAGATATTTTGCAGAGATAATTAATTTTGATGTTCAGTCTGGGATTTGTTTATGAACACTTAAAAGAGTTTTACTGTGCTTGCTAAGCAGAATATTTTTTAGTTCCGTTTATATGCTGCGCATATATGTTTTATATGATGCACATATCGAAATGTAAAAGCATTTATTTATCGGGAAAATCTAAAGAGCGGCTACAGTCTGCCTCCGCTCCTCTTTTTTCAAGTTATGCTCGACTGTCCAGTATTCGCCAATTTCCAAGTATGCGGGTTAGTTAAGCTTTTATTGTTAAAGTGATGACTGCATGAAGCAAATTTCTGTCTTCTGATTTCAGAAATGTTTTTTATTTATTTTTTTTTTTTTTACTTAAATTACTTTGCTTGCAATATCTGTTAAGGAAAAACTGATATACAATGAAAATTTAGAAAATGTTCAGAATTTAGATTTAAGTTAAATTAATAAATATCAATATGAGTGGAAAAGTAAATTGTATTTATTATTAGATTCCAAGCGAAATACAATAAATATGCCTTATTATTATTTATTTTCTCTATATTTGAACTGAAATTTCATCATTAAATCTTGTAATATAGTTTAGTTCTGAATAGTTTTTTTTTTCTCATTGTAAACTAGCTCTGTAAATTGAACTGTTATTTTAAATAATAATAATAATAATAAAAAAAAAAAAGCAATTATTTTCCATGGTTGAGGTAATGCTTATTCTCTCTTAATAAATACTGCATTTGTCATATTTTAAATTACAAGTCTAATTTTTAAGGTTATGCAGTTGTGTATGATGTAATTAGACAGGTGCTTATTTTTTTTCTTAAAATGTGCTTGAAAAGTGCTTATAGGTGCTTATTTTTTTAACTAAAATGTGGCTATGAACCCTGAATATATTTATTTGTAAATATGCTCCAGTAGGATTTTAGTTGGAAGTTCTAGTTCTTTATATTTTCTCCCTTCTTCCTGCATGCCCTCATGGTGTAACGGTTAGCACATTCAACGCATATTCGAGAGGTCCAAGTTCGAGTCCCAGCAAGCACACACATTTCTCACTTCCGTTGCTTCAAAATTACATAATGACTTTCAGTGGTGCCTGAACTAAGTGGTGGTGGATGATGATTCTTCACCACCAGTATTTGGCAATTAGGTCCCATAATCTCCAATCATCCTTTAAAAGAGGGAGTATATAAAATATTTTCTCCCTCCTTCCAGCATGCCTTTAAATGGTGTAACAGTTAGCATACTCGGTGAGTATTCAAGAGGTTCAGTTTCGAGTCTTGGCAAGAGCATTAACATTTCTCACATTTCTTGCTTCAAAATCACATGACTCATAATTAATCACATGACATAATGACAACATTATTTGATTTGTCTTGGAAGCATAGTTTCAAGGATATGAAGTCTTTGCATGTCACGTTATTTTTTTTCCTTTCATGTAGATTTCTAAATATTGAGCTTATTTGTTTGTAACACATACATACATATAAGTTATTTAAAATAAAGATTTGTATGTAGAGTACTATTGATAATGTTAACTATTATCTGAAGTTACATTTTAAAAACTATTATTATATTTATTTTAATAGGGCTGGATTGAGTGTGTTGGCTGTGCTGACAGATCTTGTTATGATCTAACCCAGCATACAAAAGCAACTGGAGTTAAACTTAATGCAGAAGCTACTCTTAAAGAACCCATATCCTTTTTATATTTTTAATTTAACAGTTCATTTAATAAAGATTTCAAAAGCATAAACTTTCATAATAATGTTATGAAATGTGGGATTTATAAAATAGCAAGATTTGATATATTAACCAATTTGTATTTAAAATATGCAGCTATTTATTATTATAACTATACTGAAAAATTATTGGGATTTACCTTCACCATTACTATTGTGAGAAAATAAATGTTATTAATTTTACATTAGATAATATGTAATCCAAGTTGCCCTATTTATCTATTTCATCCTTATGAGCTAAGTGTGTTTGGTTCGATAGCTTTCAAGTCAATATTAATGCTCTGAAGCTAGTGTGTTGGAAAGGAAAAAATAAAAAGTTTTCACTTATTAGAAGTCATTTGAAGAATTTTTCTCATTGAACACAGAGAAAAAACTGATCATTAAAATTTATATTAAATCAGTTTATATGTATATTTTTTAACTGTCAGAACAGAAGCTACTAATTGATGTGTTTTACTTTGGTGGCTAATTCATTACAACAAATCTACTGCTTTTGAGTCAAACACACCTGAAAGCCTTTTCACACCTCATCTAATATTATCATTAAAAAAATTTTTTTTAAACATACAAAATAAAACTTTTCCTTTTTCCATCTTCTCAAAAAATAAAAGTGCTTATATATGTATGTATAGATATAAGCACTTGTGAAACATTGAGCAAGCAAATCAGATCCATATCGAGGAAAAAATATCTATTAAAATGAATAAAATGCCAATAAATATTCGTTTGTGGGATACCAATTTCTAGAACAATGTTTAGTGTGAAGAAATACTTGAAATGTAAAAGTAAATTGGTTGCTTCAGCTTTCTAAGAAATTTCAAGTTATCCTCATCACACATTTAAATTCATTATAATTTTGAAAAGAACATAAATACTGCAGTGAAATAAATTTCTGTTTCTCAGCTGTCTTTGAAGGTTTACCTGAAAACATCGTGTGATAAGAGGATTGTATGATTCCAAGATGGTTTCAATTCAGGAGTACATCCAGTGCATGAACCATGGTTTGCAGAACTGAAGTTATATTTCCACAGCATAAATCAAAAAGACTGGATAAAAAAAATAATAAAAAAATCAAAGGTCCTGCAAAATCCTTACAAACAGGATGTATTGTGTATTTATTGTAAAGCAGTCAGGCAAGGATAAGTAAAGAGATAATTGATTGAGTGAGGGGAAATACTGAGGAGCCCAAAGAAGTTGATTCTGTAAAATTTTTTGAATTGCATGTACTGCAAAACATCTTCAATCACTTTCATACAGAGTCCTAAAATTATTATATTATGCACTATTTGAGATGAAGAGAAACAGATCATGAGGCTGAAATCCTGTAAGTTGATGCTCAGTGTGCTATTTATTGTAATGATACATAGCTTCTGCTGAACGATAAGTTCTCAGAATGAACGTCTCTCTAATACATATCCATGAAGAGAAACTGGCACAACTCCTGGGTCTGTGGGGGTTGAGAATCTAAAACAAATTTCAAATGATTGAAAAGGGTAGCCTAAAAGTGAATATATGATGTGCTGTGTCAAAGAATTACCTAACTGGAACTTTTTTCTATGAGGAGAAAATATTGTGTTGGTTTCAGGATAAAACTGCAAGAACACATCAGTGAGAAAGATGCCCGTTAGATGTATGTCAATGAAGCTAACAGACATCTAGATTCACTTATAAATAAGTTCAGCTAATGAAAATATCATGAATGTAAATAGCTTTACCGAAATTATATCTTTTGAATTAACTGCTGTAAACCTTAGTTCGTGACTCCAGGCTTGCAGCAGTTCTGTTGGAAAATATTCAAGCTGGAGCACATTGGTGCATAAAAATCTAATACGAATATTTTCTCTTTCTCTCTCTCTCTCTCTTTTTTTTTTTTTTTTTTTTTTTTCTGTAACTCCAAATATATATATAATGTTCATTATCTGTACCTAATCCTCCACTTCTGAATCTTTCATTTGTATTTTGTTATCTCTAGAATCAGTTTCTCTCGATGTGTTACAGAAGGTTTATATTGGCAATGAGTTTCCACTTCTTCAGCCTGAATACCACTCTCATTGTTGATAGCATCTGGTTGTAATCTGTTTGATAAATATCTGAGATACCACCAAATAACTTGCATATCTAAGGGATTTACCTTAATATATTTGTAAAAGACTGTGCAGGTTACAGAGCTTCAACCTCAAATGGCTGTGATAGGAAAAGCTTTTAAAAAGGATTCCAAAGATATTGCCAAAGTATTAAAAGAGTTGAATGAAGATGAAATTTCTAATGTGGAAAAAGAGTTAGAATCTCAGAAGTAAATATTTTTTAGATAAAAATACTTCAAATATATATTTTATGCAGAATGATTAAATTTTGTCGAAGTTTTGACTGTTTTATAAAGTGACATTTGTTTTGCTCATTGTTTAAAATAAAAGATACTTTTACAAAAGTAGCAATATCAAACGAATGAGTTCTAAGGCAATAAGTGCCAGTTAATTTGTAATCAAGAGGGGTTATGACAGGGGATTATAGAAATGGCAGGAAGTAAATGGAAATAATTTATTTTACGTATGTGAAGAAAGCAGTGGCAATTTTTCTATTTTTTAAATTGCTTAAAATTTAAGGGATTTTCTGTTTTATCTCATGCAGATGTGTCATTATTAGTTAAACATTAACTCAAACATTTGTCTATTATATAATATTATGGAATCTTTTCTGTTATAGGATAATATGTGTCAAATAATTTCCTGTAGAAATATATATTCATCAATTTGATATTTCTATTGAAAAAAAAGCATTCTTTTGTCAACAACTCATTTCAGTCGTAGAATGTTTCTAAGTATAAGAACTATGTCTCTTAGATTAGATATTTCAAAATGTAAAGAGTGAAATAGAATGTCACTCTTTGAAAAGAAGAATGAGAGTTAATAGCAAGAATTTTAGCTTAATGGTGACCAGTAGGTGAATTTGGCACATATATATTTATGTAGAAAATTGTTTGCCCCATATTATCCTAAAACAGAAAAGATTCTTTGTCACAAGATCATCAGCAAAGCACCAAGTTTCATTTTCAGCTTTTATTGTTGGAAAAGATGTCAGATTTAATGTCTGTTATTCGTTTTAAATCGTGATGCGTAGAGATTTGATCTCTGTGTTCTACAGTCAATAAGCGAGAGACCAAACAAGAACAATTTTTTTTTATCCCCAAGATCTTCCATAAGAGTTTTGTTGAGCAGTGTTTTTACTGTTGTTAAAATTGTCATGTCTCTTCAGCTATCTGTTGATTTTTTGGCAACATTTTGTTGAATTTTTTTAAAATGTTTTCATCCATTTGAGACTGCCAGTGGTGACCATTTATGTATTCACCATCATTATCTTCATGCCTGTCAGAGCCATCGAATGAAAGATAACAGATCATATTAATGCTCGATTCCCATATGCTTTAGACATTTCAAATGTCTCCATTGCTTCTTTTCCCACTTATAGCAAAATTTCATTGTCTTTCTTTGCTATGCTTTTGAATCAATGATGGTAGATTTGTGCTGAATCATAGTAAACGATTAACTGCTATGATAGTAATGCTATCATAGTAAATGATAACTTTAGGAAAAGCAAGTTGAAATGTCATAGTAATAAATACTGTTAATTATTGTTTACTAGGTTAACTGAAATAATGATAGTAAAAAAAAGGTATCTTAAAACTCTGTAGATACTCTGTGTATACAAAATATGAATGCATACTCTGTCTGAATTGATTTATAATAAAAATAATTACATTATTTTTTCTTTCAACATATTGCTAGATATTCTGTAGATATTTTACATAAAATGATTTGTGCAAAAAAAAAGAAATAGTAAGTTTTAACCCTCTCACTGCGTATCCCACGATTTCCACGGGCAACATAGAAGTAGCAAAATTTGCACAACGAGCTCTTTTCCCGTTCATGTTTCAGCTTTTATATGATGTTTAAATATTTATTCAGATTTGAATTAACAAATGGCATTAGTTGTCCATATTTCTGCGAAATAAACAAGCACATTTTGCACCATTTTGGGCGTTCTTGTCAAAGTTTAAAGATGTTTATAGTTCAACTCTCAATCATATGAGACTAACTGCTCGACATTTTGCTAGATATATATCCCCCAATTCCATCAAGAACGAAACTCATACACTTTGTGCTGTTTGTTTTCGAAAAAAAAACTTGAACTGGCAAAAAAATTCGCAAAGAAACGCATATTTGGTGCAAGATTGCGAGGGAGGATGACCCAAGCCATATTTCAAAGTTAATCATATTACACTTCATTTCTAATAAATGTTTTTTGAATATTTTGCATATTTTCATTAGTATATATGTTTTACCATTATATTTTATAAAATAAATCATAATTTAACCAAGATTAATTTTCAAAAAAAAAATTTTTTTTTTTTATATTTTTTTTTTTTTTTATTTATTATTTATTTATTTATTTTATTTTTTTTGTATGATTATTCTTTTGCTTAACTTTTCCGACAACCTTTTTTTATGATCTAATTCTATACTGAGAAAAAACTGTTTTACAAAAATTTTTTGTATATTTTACTCTAAAATAGATGTAGATTTGAAATATGTAATTAAAAAAATTAGCAATTTTTGAACCTATTTTGATTTAAAAAAATTTTGCAGCGAGAGGGTTAAATGATAAGTTACATAAATGAAATGTTTTGTCTTTTCATATTCTTAATTATTGCAGTGAAACTGTAAAATAAAAGAATAGAAAAGAAAAGAGTAAGACAACAGATTGTGAATCTTTTTATATCCAGATGGTGCAGCTCTCTGTAGCAATTTTTGAGGCCTATATAACATCTATAATTGTAACCTTGAAGATGTTAAACAAAATTTTTATCATATTACCACTTAAAAGAATTAAAAAAGAATAAAGAAATATCATAAAGGTTCATTAAGGATTCATAAATATTTAATATTTTTATCCACTCTTAGAAATGAATAGATTTAATGAATTCTGCTGCTTTCTTATTGAGTTAATCTGTAGCACTGAATTTTTAAATCAAAAGTTTTTTTAATAAAGATAATGGCACTACAATGATGTATTTTCAACTGCTAGCAATATATTTGTATTTGATATTAAAAAATATAATAATCATTTGATGTGTTAGTAGTTACTTCCATTGTAGTTCTGTATGTCTTTGGAACTAAGTAACGGGTGGCCATAATTAAACTGACAGTGCTCACAGTATTCTGTAGTGCGATCTATTTGCGAGAATGACGCCACATTTTGTAGGAAGATTAAACAAGACGGGGGACGAAGGATTCTGCAAAAAAACAAATTAGTTCCAAAAGTCACCGCTAGAGGGATATTTGGTGCTGTGTAATAGAAAATAGTGTTAACAAATGCAAATCAATACGGAAATTACCTTTTATTTTGCATTCAAATGAGGTTCAATGTGGCTGCCATTGTTGTGGACCACATATTGCATTCTGTGCACAGTATGCACAACAGCAGAAAGTAACATGTCTGAAGGAATCTCCCGTACAGTCCGTGATATGTTATCCATCAACGTAGCCAGGTCCTGGACCACTCCTTGATAGACCTTGGACTTAAGGTAACCCGATAGCCAAAAGTCGCATGGGGTAAGATCAGGCGACCGAGGTAGCCATGCAGTTGGAAAGTAGCGGCTAATGACTCTTTCTGTTGTGAATTTCTGTGTAGCATCTGTTGCACCCGTAAAGCAACATGTGGAGGGGCTCCATCTTGATGAAAATGATTTCCGCCAGACATTGTCTTTGCTGAAGTGCCGGAATGACAAAGCTGTTCAACATGTGGCGATATTTCTCTACGCTAACAGAACAGGTTCCCGGTCTTGTCGGGGTAATGTTCTCATAGAAGAATGGACCTACGATAAATTCCGCTGTGAACCCACACCAAACAGTTACCTTTGGTGAATGTAAGGGAATTGCTATGACTGCATGTGGTGGTTTGTCATCCCAAGTTCGGCAGTTCTGGGTATTCACAGTTCCATTCAGGTAAAAGTGGGCCTCATCTTCCCATAAGATTTTCCACGGCCAAGCATCATCCACCTCCATTCTGGCAAGAAAGGTGAGAGCAAACGTCAGTCGCTTATCATGGTCGGGGTACATTAACTCCTGTACACGGCTGATCTTGTACGGATAGAAGTTGATAATTTTTCGTAAGATTTTCCATACCGTACTGTAAGGCATAACCATATTCCATAAGGCATATCCATAATAAAAGGTAATTTTATTCCGTATTAATTTGCATTTGTTAACACTCTATTTTCTATTACACAGCGCCAAATATTCCCCTAGCGGTGACTTTTGGAACTATTTTTTTTTCCGCAGAATCCTTCATGCCCCGTCTTGTTTAATCTTTCTACAAAATGTGGCGTCATTCTCGCAAATAGATCGCGCTACAGAACACTGTGAGCACTGTCAGTTTAATTATGGCCACCCGGTATATCTGAGCCAATTTGATTTTAATGTTTGTTTACATTAACTTTTTTTAACGAAGCAATTGTTTTCAATCTTTAAATTTTTAATTATTTATTTTTTAGTGGATATAAACTTAATGTTGACGGCAAAGAGTTCAATATAACCAAAGATATGGTTATAATAAGTCGAGGACAAAAAACTGTACATGGTAAGTAAGGGAATTTAACAGCTGTCTTAGGTTTGTGTCTGTTTTAATTCATATTAAGAAATATTATTTTACATGTTATGCTTTAAATTTTATCCAAATATAAAAAATAGAAAAAAATTAATAAATTTAGGAACTGTTATTATCAACTTTCATATTAATCAGTAACTGCAAACTCATTACCAAAAAGTACCACTTTTAATTTGATTCCTGCGAGCTTCTGGCAAGCCTAGAAGCTGTTTTGGATTTTTTAGGGAAAATAATTTTTTTAGCTGGTTTCTTTTACCCATCAACTGCTCCCCCCCTCTAACATCAACTGCAGACCAATTATGCAGGTGCCTATCTGCATTGCATCTTTATGTATTAAATTTTTTAAATCTATTTCTTGTAGAAAGTTTTCAGATCAACATTTATCTGATGCTAATTTTGACTAGGATTTGTTGAGAAATGAAGCAGAAATGATGCATTATTTGCAGGCACATGATATTTTGCCAAAAGTTGAGTATATTCCAGTTTCTACGTAATGAATTTGTACATGATGGAAATGTCAACATCACTAACAGTCAATAAAATGATAAAAAAGAACTGATAACTGGAAATATCTTGCTTTCTTGCTTAGTTTGTATCGAATGCCACTGGAAATATAAAAAAAAAGCCTGTTTTTCGTTGATCTGCTGACCTTGGAAAACAGATTTCATTAGGAAAAGGTACCAATAGATTGTTCGGCATTTCTTAATGGGTACTAGGTAATGTCTAATTATTGTATTATTTTATACTTTATCAATGTTTTAAAAATGTTGTCTTGATTTATTGGGCATCAAAACATAAACAAACACATGAAGTTAAGTAATATAATGTAGAGTGCTAATAAGTAGAGGAAACTACATCATATCCATAATGAATATAGAATCAGTAAAAGGGGTAACAGGTAAAGATTCCACAAATGATAGTCAGTTGTTGAAGTCATATTACGTGGAAAATTTTCCAAATCTTTTTTGGCAATAAAAATCTTTTAGTGAAATTATTTTAATACATGAAGCTGTTTTACAAATTGATGCTGGTTTGCTTTTGTCAGTTTATTTTTCTTAAAGGAATTATACATGCACATTATTAGTAATTAAACTACATTTAAGTTAATAAATTTGGTTTAAAATTATGAAAATATTTTGACTTAGCTGTATTATTATGTGATCAAACAAGATCAAATAGTTGCTAACTTTGTCACCATAACGCATCACTACTGCAAGCGTATGACATACGTTATTTTTAAGAATGGATTTTTTGTTTAAGAGTTTATAGTACAATGGGTTTATGCATTCTACTAAACAATGAAGGTGATCCTAGTAGTTTCTTAAAAGAGTGTAATATGTTGCCGAGTAACTAGCAATATTCCAATTTACATTCATTTGAGTCAATCAAAGGCTGCGTGGCAATGTTAGAAAGACATGGAATGTGAGGTGGCAACTTATTTGCGGCAAGTAGGTTGCCATTTATTACTGCCATCAGATTCATCTGCTACTGGTTTAAGGAAAAATTTTGCATGGAAGAACTCAATGTGGTTTATGCTTCTGTTATAGACTGGAATAGTTATTGGAGAGAAATATGCATCTACGAGATGCAGACTCATGAAAATAAAAAAAGTAGGTGAAGTCTTAACCGCAGAGATTCATGAAAGCCTGTTCTCAAAAAGCAAAAATAATTTTGCCCATGTTCTACCACCTCACTGGATTTTCTGCTTGTACAGTCAAAAGTCGTTAATTCGGACACCCATAATCCGGAATGATCTATAATCCGGACCTCAAAGCTAAAAACTTTCTGCGCATGCGCATAGGCGTTTAAGCGTGCGCGTAAGACCTTTACGACTGCGCATTTGCGTGTGCAGAATACGTTTTCGCTGCGCGTTTAATGTATAACGGATTATAAGCTAAAATTATCTAATTGTCTATCTATTTCAGTTAATGTTGATGATTGTGTTGTTCCTTAATCTTCGAATTGGATCCGGCTTATTATTTTTTGCAGACTGTAAGAGCAATTTTATAAAAGTAAGCTTGAACTTTCGATTATGTCAAATAGAAGTTTTCCGATGCTGGAGCTCCCAAAGGATCTACAAAAACGAAAGTATGTTTCGATGTCCATCGAACAAAAAGTGGAATTGCTCCAAAAAATGGATAAAGTCATAACCTTTGTTTATCTAACCGTTCCGAAATCTGTTTATCAATTTCATGCTGCTCTGCGTGGGGGGGGGGGGAACGTGGCGGCGCGCAATGAACTGGAAGTTGATCTGTCAACACTATCGTTATCTTCAGGGCAGATGTTTTTATTTTATTCGGCTTATAATTCCTTATTAAATGTAGTATTTCATCTCGATGTACTTCGTCTTTGATATGATTTAAATCAAATTCCTAGTCATTATAAATATCACGAATACAAATCAAATAGTTTTCTGGTTGCAAATTTCTAATTTTCGGCTATGCATATGTATGCTTTAGCATGCGCATCGCACTTGAAAGAAATGTTTAATAAAGTAAACAAATAAATATTAAGCTTTTTTTTTTTGTAAATTTTGATACCCTTTAGATCATAATTGTTCTTATTTTATTTATAAATACTACGGTTTCATATTTTTTATTTTAATTTCTTCTGCATGCCATCTTACCAGATTTAAATTGATGATCTATAATCTGGAAAAATCAATAATCCGGAATCGCCGAAGTCCCGACGAGTCCGGATTAAAGACTTTTGACTGTATTAGCAGATGAACTAAAGAAATCTTTCTTGTTACCATGCCCAACAAGAAAGACTTTATTGAATACAGTCAAAGAAAATATTAAAAGAGCAACAATTTATTCTGCCTCCTGGGCCAAACATTTTCGAAATCTTTTTTGGCAATAAAAATCTTTTAGTGATCTAATAAGTAATCCTCTACTTATTAGCACTCTACATTATATTAATGAATTTCATATGTTTGTTTGTATTTTGATGCCCAATAAATCAAGACAACATTTCTAAAACATTGGTAAAGAATAAACAGAAGAATTTCAAAAAAAAAAACAGTTTTAAGTTCACAAATTCAATTTTGTGAATCCACATTCCAGAGTTCGTATGCAAAATATTAAGCTGGTATAGGTTTCTTTCAAAGCATGGATATCATTAGAAATTGTACTTAATGGAGTTTATGTGGCAGCAAAAAGTTGTAGCTTTAAGTAAAAAAAAAAAAAAAAAAAAACTTTTTAAAAGCTATTGTGAAACATTTTGCACCCAAAATAAAGAAAAATTTATTATATCAAATTACTGTCAAAACTGGCTAACCTGCCAGTTTTTCTCCATTAACACACAAGTACCTAATTTGTTTATGATTTCATTTTATAATGTAGACATATTAATGTAGACATCCAGTTTATGTGTGTAAATGACATGAATGCTAAGGTTATAGTTCTCTGAAGAACCAAAATGCAAAGGGAAGTACCACTTTAAATGTATTATTTTTTTAGGGAACATAACAGTTTTTTTTAGTTCTTTTTTAGAAAAGATATAGTTAATCTGTCATAATAAATCGTGCAAAGCAAATGATTTTGTTACACTGGAAAAGAATTGTTTTGATATATGATGTAAAGTAGAATTTTATAAAAACTATATTTATAGTTATTAAAGTATTATATTATATAATTATTATATTATCATCTGGCATCTTTCTGAAATGTTTTGCATTGTACTTAACACTTTCTATAACCATCTCAGGAAAACATCTGTGAACTTAAATGTTAATTCATTTTAATGTTTTATAATGAAAGACTTTTTCCTTTATTAGTGGGATTGAAGTCCCACTTATAGAGAAGGGATATTCTCCTAATGGTGTTGAAGTTATTAATGATAGAATTGAATCCTCCCTTTTTTTTAATCATAAGTATAGTTAATATCTAATTATAAAATTTTAAACCATTTTCAACCAGGTATTTCCCTCTGGTTGTTTAATATCGTACCCAGTAGTTAATGCTCTATTCATAGAATATTGCCTCAGAAGTTGTATTGCTACAAGTTTTAGAATGATTAGTCGATACTCAGAAATGGTATGAAAAAATAATAGAAGATTATCCATGGCAACAGATAATCATTTCTCAAGCAGCATGATTATACTAGGCTGATCGCAGATACTGCAGGAAATTTATTACTATCCTACATGTATAAAAGTATGTTTTCTACCACCATTGCACTGAAAGGTTTTGCATCATTTCATGATTCTAATGAGATTTTGCTATTATGCAAAGATTTAGAAAATAACCAAAGCCAGTTCTGCATATTAACTAGAACTGCATTTCAAAGAAATTATGGTGATATTCCTCTCTTTAGGTAGATAACCCTTACCTACTTTGCCATAATCAAATCCAATCTAAAACTATACACGGTACAAAGTCTGTAATCCGGACTCGTCGGAACTTCGGTGATCTCAAATTAGGGGTTTTTCCGGATTATAGATAATCAATTTAAATCTGGTAAGATGTCATGCAGAAATTATACAATTAAAAATATGAAACCGTTATTTATGAAATAAAGAGCAGTTATGATCTAAAGGGTATCAAAATTTACAAAAAAAAAAAAAAAAAGCTTAATATTTATTTGTTTACTTTATTAAACATTTTCTTTCAATGTAAGTTGCTTGTTTTTTATGCTAATACTTTCTCTTTTTATCTTTTAATTCTATAACAGAAACATAATTCTTGTTCAGTTACAAAGTTCCACTGTTCAAGTCCTGTAATTGCTATGTCGAGAATACCGACTAACTTTTCAATCGAAATTCTTTCGTTTTCAATAATTCATTCTCTGTCACTTTCCTCACTATCAGAAGTGCGCATGTGTAAACACTTTACTGGCTTTACGTGCATGCCTAGCAAAGACGCGCATCAGACGGGCATGCGTATGTTTGTGGCTTTGAGTTCCGGATAATGGACGTCCGGATTACAGACTTTGCACTGTAGTCGAAAGGCAAACAAAATCTGGATCCAATTAGAAAAACCACGGAGGCTATGCCTCTTTCAGCAGGTAACACTATATAACAAATTGAGCAGAAAATGAATCTTAAAGTAGACAGTATTTGCATGTTGTATAACAGTTGATTAAATTCACCTAGTAATTATCCCACCACTCTAACTCTGCTGCTCCATGCCACTTTTCAGGGTGAGCTTACCCCCAGGAGGTAGTTCAAAAGTTTCCCAGCCATTTTCCCTTACAACCAAATTAGAGAGGACTTTCGGCTATTTTAACTGCCCCATGTGCCACCTAGACGCAATGCGCATACAAACATCTGTGCAGACTCCAGATTCAAACTAGGGCCCACTGGTGCAACAGCCAGGATCACTAACCACTTAAGTGATCAGTGCAACTAGATGATTAGTGTAATAGTAGTAATGGAGGACGTGGTCAAGATTAGTATAGTTGGTGTGTTCTGTAAATTAAGCATATTAATGATTCAAAGTGAAATGTACCTCTGTTTAGTTCTCACTTACAAGGCCTTTTCTGACGCCTTCCAAAAATTGGCATCCTAGCCTGCTGTCTATATTGCTTATGTACAGAGTCGATCCCAGTTGGAACTATGTTAATTTTAGCACATTCTCTTTTTAGGAGAAACTGCAGTGCAGAGTTATGGCTCAGGCAAAGTGAGAAATCAAAAGAGAATCATAAATATTAGCAATATGGCAGTATTTAGATAATTTACATCAATTCAGCTCATCATAAATGTGAATCAACTTAAATTTTTTATATATCTTTGTTTATTGAAATCTGTTGTGAAGTAATGTTGTGAATGTCTTGAAATGCATGCAGTGATGCTGTTTAAACTTTTCAGTTGAAGAAGTCATTCCAGCTGTTATTGAACCCTCATTTGGTATTGGACGTATTATGTATGCCATATGGGAGCATAATTTCAGAACAAGGCCCGGAGATGAAATGCGAACAGTAATTAATATTCAGTTATGTGTAAATGTAGATATTTATGTTTTCCTATATTTGTATTTGGTCTTGGGTAATCAGTAATTTTTGTTTTTCAGTATTTTGCCTTACCTGCTGTTGTTGCTCCATACAAGTGCAGCGTTCTTCCCCTTAGTGGTCATCCTGATTTTGCTCCATTTGTTACCACATTATGTAAGTTTACATTTAACTTCATACTATGATATAATTTGTTAAGAGTTTGACTTCCTTTGGGATAATAAACTAACATCAAACTCATAACAGACACCTACAGAGCCTTGAAAAGGTTTAAAACCTTTTATTAAGTCAGAACTTGACCATAAATGCATGTTTCATGCTTGACAAGATCAGCCACCACTTGTGGTGATATGGCGTAAAGTAACAGTAAGCTTGTCTAGTAGTCAAAGATTATACAATTGATTTAATGCAAAGCTGGCTGAAAACTTCTCACCAGCGTAACAATTTAAATGTCGGCAGCTGTCACGCAAAGCCTAAGAATTGCAATCTTAAAAAGTTATTTGATGGCACATGCATTTATATTTAAATTTCTAATCAAATCAGATTATTATTTAATTGTTACCTTTTTTATATTTTGATTAGCATATTTTTTCAATGTGATGCACTTTCCACCTCAAATAAATGTCACTGAAAATAGGACGCATCTTAGGATTACTGATTTTGCCCGATTGTTAATTAAATCGAAGTATTAGATTCTCTCAAATTGCGAGTTTAAATGGAAGTATTATTAGTCTTAAAATCAAGGTCAATTATTAAAAATATTTGCTTTATATTGTTTTAATTCATTTTAATGTTTTATAATGAAAGACTTTTCCTTTATTAGTGGGATTGAAGTCCCACTTATAGAGAAGGGATATTCTCCTAATGGTGTTGAAGTTATTAATGCTAGAATTGAATCCCCCCTTTTTTTAAATCATAAGTATAGATGCGTTAACTATTTTTAAGAAATAGCCTATAGACTTTTAAACACCTCTATTATTTTAACCACATTATATTATTACATTTATTTAAATCTGTTTAATAGCTGCATCATATTATTTGCAGCGGAAGAATTAACCAATCATGGTGTTTTGTGTCGTGTTGATGACAGCAGTGGATCTATTGGTCGCAGGTATACAAGAACTGATGAAATTGCAATTCCTTTTGGAATTACGATAGACTTTGATTCTTTGAAAGAACCTCACTCAGTCACTTTGAGAGAACGTGATACAATGGAGCAAATACGAGTGCCTGTAAGTGTGTAAATTTTTTCGCAATCTTTCTTATTATTATAAATGTGCTATCTAAAAATCGTAAATTATGTGCTAAGATATATCATGATTTACAACAATTAAGTAATAATATTGTTTTTTTTTAAATTAAAGTTTGTGATGGATTTAATATTCCAACTGATTTTCTGCATGAAAGATGTTTAAATGAAACATAGATAGCATGTGCAACCTGCATATTTGATCTGATGGATAATAAATATGTAATAATAACCTGTCTGCTGAGGATAGCCAAAAAAAGTATGCTGCATGGTTGTATGACAAGATTTCACTTATATTATGGCACAAGTCACTTTTCTAAGAGAAATGTATCATCTGTTTTTCAAAACAGGTCCAAGCACTTGCAACGTTCCCATTTCAGTCAATCACGTTTTAACCTGCTGTCCTACTTTTACTCAAAAACGTGTTTATCATTTTAACTCAACGAATGTAAACTTAACAGATCTCCACATCAACCTCATAAGATTTTAAAAGACATATCTTTTTACCATATGATTTGAAGTTATTTTCCTTTTATCCTGCTCTACCTGTTGCTAGAGCATTTCTCAAAATCATTTCTCCATGCCCTCATCAGCATGCTTGCAGTACACCTGAAATGAGGTTGGACATGTGTCATTATAAGTATAATACATGACTGCAGTGGAGAAATAGTAAAGGAGAACTGCTGTTCCCCCATCTGTGGGCTCTAGCAAGTGTCAGCATGGGGTTTTGAATCTATGTCAGTTGATCTGTACCATTTACATGAGGTATTGGAAGGTAGGTATTTGACTTGTCAGTCTTCTTTGATTAGAAAGGATCTTTGCTGTTAGAATGGTTAGGTTAACGTGGTTAACCATGCAAAACTGTGCAACTCTAAATGTGCTCCACAAAGCCATCTAAAGCTGCTGCTTTGTAAAGTAGTAACATGGTCTTCTTGGAAGTTATGTGATAATGGCAAACTTTGACACTGGCATTTCTGCTGAGGAATCCTTAATATTGTACAGTGTGCAATTCTTACCTTCTAATTTTTTCACTTTGGATCTCTAAATATTCTTTTATAAGATGTTGTTGCACCACCAATCAAAATATTTATCTTGTGCCAAAAGAGAGATTTCAGTTTTAGCTTGCAGAAATTAGTGAACCATAACAGCAACTGTCTGCTACAGCAGCAGTATTTTACTATGGCTCGATGCATGTTAAGTGTAGTACTGTGGACAAACAGCTCATATTCTGTCATTGTTTCATCTGCATGATTCTTGACAATTCAGCAGGTAACTGGATGTATTAAATGAATATAAATTAAATCTTCTAGTAGCATAAAAAGTATATTGTAGAAATTTTAAAAACCTTTATTCTTGTTTATACGTCAAGCATATGTAAATGAATATATAGTATATTCTTCATATAATGAATTGTTTGAGAGAAGGAATGTTCATAAGCTGAAAACTTATTAAATGTGAATATGTTTTAAAAGGTTATAGGAAATATTAAAAAATGTAAAATAATATGTAGTATGTACAATATTTTATTTTTTAAATATCAGTCTTAATTGAAACTTTTAAACCCATTCAACTGGTATTTGCAAATTGTTTTATTATTACTCATTGTTTCTCTCTTTTATTCTTGAAAATGATTGCTTCACATCTGCAACTAGTAAACCAGTTTTAAGTGTACTAGTTAAAACTAGTAAATTTCATGTACAGCTAGTAAATTAGTTAAGACTTCAAATTAATTTTTAATTCTATACTTCTATGTCAGCTACCTGAATAAGGCTCTCAAGACATATAATTCACCAAGACAGTGATCCACTTCCAACATTGGTACAAAAATCGCATTTTGGGGGATGTATTTTTGGTTTCTAATACTTTTTTTTTTTTTAATAAAGATAAATACAGTGCACTTATAGTTCAATTAAAGTTACATCTATATAAATTACAGATTGTAAAAAAAGTTGGTTAGTGACTGAATTGCACAAACACAATAAGCATATTACAAGGTTGCTTTGCTACCTGGAAAAGCGGGAAAAATTAAAGAATTCAGAAATTGACCAAAAAAAATCAAGGTATTTAAATATTTTACCCCAAATCTGAAAAAATCAGGGAATTTCATAAAGCGATTTTTGCCCCAATGTTGGAAGTGGATCACTTCCTTGGCAAATTAAGTGTCTTGAGAGCATTATTCGAGTAGCTGACATAGAGCCAGTTTTCACAGCACCAATCAGATTGACTTTCAGAAAGGAAAAGCAAATTTCCAGTAACCTCCATAGTTGAGAGCAGAACTCGCATGTTCTTGAGAAAAACAAGAAATCTTTCTCTTTGTGGTACAGTGCTTATAAGCGAAGTAAAATTTTACTAGTTTTGTGTTCATTTTTTTTTTTAGTATTTTTTAATTAATGTTTTGTTTAAATATTCTAAATGTCTTTCCCCTCCTTCTCCTCACATCAGAAACATATTTTCTTATCCGTGTATCAGTGAACTGCTTCTGTTACCTTTCAGAATTTAGCAACAGTCCTAAGAATACCAAGGTGATTGTTTGGCAGTTATATATCATTTAATATAATAGACAGTTGCTCCCCCATTGCTATTTTGTAAATAATAACTTCCAGAATTTTTTGTAACACCTTTTAAAACCAGAAAGCTGGGTCACCATGACATCATAATTTTTACCCAACTGGAGTTGGAAAAAATCCAATGTTTAAAAAATTATGTATTGCATTGAAAAATCAATTAATTTGATTTCTGATTTTGTTTATTACTTAGGTGAAATGTATTGTAAATATTTCATTTTCGTAAATGTATGCTTTTGTGCATGTAAAATTAATTTTTAAGTTATACTTTAACATTATTGTTTGTACAGATATTTTATTATAAATGTCTTTCAGTGTCATTGACTGCAAATATTTCTGATGCACTAACAATCACTCCTGGTATTATATACTGTTTTCGTGTAATTAAAAAGGGAATTTATTTGGATTTAACTAATTTTGTGATACAATTGATTGCTGAAGACATTGGTGGTTTAGTATGCAAATATTCTGTATCTAGTTTTCTTAATTTGAAAGTTATTAAGGAGAGTGAGAGTATCTCCTATTATAGTTCTAATAGTAATGCTTTGGGGATTCAAAACATTCCCCCCTTTGTCAAAGTCTAATGCAATTGGCAAATTTTTGTCTTTTCAAAAAAGTGGTATCATAATTTATTTACTCTCAGCATAGCCAATCACACTACAATGCAGTGGGAAAATTTTTGTGTTTTCAAGTGCACCATAATTTATTTACTGTCAGCATAGCCAATCACACTACAGTGCTAGACTATAATTTTCTTAAAACACACCTGGAAAAGCGAGGGAATTTCAGTCTCCAGTTTGAGTGATAACCCTAATATTAGTTATTAATTTTTTGTTTTTCTAAATGGCTGGAATTAGCAATTTAATGCATTTGTTGGGAATGGCCAAGACCTGTTGGTTATTTAGCTATCCCATCACTGACAGTGTTGTCCATGATCATAAAAAAGGAAAGTTTATGCAAATGGGAGAATTTCCCAAAGCACAAATGAAAGGGTCTTCTAACTGTCAAGAGTTTTTTTAGGCTTAACAGGATTTTTAAGTGCTCCCTTGCACATTACATATGCCCCATGTACATTTACAAATATCCATACCTTTTCCAGGATTCAAACACAGGTCCAAGGTTATGAAATCCTGCTTCCATATCATTATGCCAAAAGGGCAGTTCAGTGGGAACTTTGCAATCTCATATCTGCTAGTCCATGAATGGGTATTGCTGACCATATTGAAATGCTGCACAATTATATAGAAATGTATGAAAATTTTTGCCAAATTCCACTTGCATCTCAGTAAGTAAAAATTATCTTGCATATGAATAAAACCATGAAGCAATGATTCAATTAGGGCATGAATAAGCTGTCAGAAAAATTTTCTTGTTCATTGGATTACAGCTTTTTGAATTAAATTTTAACATAGTTAATGCATCATGCATAAGCCAATAATAGAAATAAAAGAGTTTGAGACTGCATTTTCTGCACAAAGTCAGAATCTGAAGTAAATTATGTTTCAGAGGCTAGTAGATTTGATGAAAAAGTACTAGGGTGTAGTGTAAATCCTTTAACGGTGTGATGTTGAACTCCAATGAAAACGCTAATGACGGAACACCACATGAAAATTTTATTGAACGCAAAAAAAAAAAAAAAAAAAAAAAAATTGGCTACATACAATTCAGAAGAGAAAAACCTAAATCTTTTTTCTTAAAATCAAATTCTATACATTTTACGTGTGAGAGCAATTCGTGGCTCTCGAGCTTGCGTTTTTAACATTGCCAACGATTTAATTATTTTAATAAAGACTATTTTAACAACTATTGAAAACGTATTTGTAAATTAAAAAAAAAAATAATAATCACGAGACATCCTTGTCCATATTAATCTTTAGTCTCTTCTTCTTTTATGTGACCTTATCACAACTCCTCTCCTCATAAAGAAATTTTTCTTGACTATGGAAGGAAAAATTCTAAATACATTTCTCTGCTTTCAAAACACAAGTGGTAACTATTTAGGTGATTATAGAGAAGACAGTTACATTACCCTGCACTTATTTCTTGATAACATAACCGCATAAATACAACAAAAATAATTTAAACTACTCCTAATGTCTGCCTTATACAAAGCATATTCCTCAAATTTTACACAATGCTAATACTTAAGATAACACATTTAATTCTAACAATTTTTTTGAAAATGAAACACACAGTGCAAACAATTTTGAATCTACACAAATATAATTCCAAAACTGTACAAAAATCATTTTCACCCATTTTCATTACTCTTTACCTTACTTTGTATCCACTAGTGATATTCAGTCACTAGACTAGGGCACGACTCAAGCTGAATCTTGAATTTTTGTCCATCTAAGTAATGACTTAGTTTCTTCAGTCCATAAATAATGGCCGCTAGTTCTCTTTTAATGGTGCTATA